TCTTATAATGGTTAACTGTGCTGTATTCATTTTAATTTTCAAGTAATATTGTACCTACCTAATTGTTTGTTTCGATTAGGCAAGGCAAAGTGGACATACACAGCTTCAAGAATCTTAAAAAAGTTTATTGCTTCCCAATAATAAAATTAGTTAATAAAAAAATTAGAAAACTTTAATATGATTGCATATTTGCATGCACTACAAAGAACCAACTTCAGTTCATTTGCTGAGCAATGAATGTAAATAGCTTAAGGGTATTTATCTCGTATTCTTGTTTGTTCGCCTAACACAGTACCAGACATAACATTTGCCCCATCATAATAATATGACTGTGCTAGTGCTACCATAGAAATTTTATGAATATTAAGTTCTTTTAAAGGAAAATTAATTAAATTGGAATGTTCAGCTCCTTGTTCACAAGATATATAACAAAACAAATTATAAACCGTTCAAATATATTGAGATTTCTTTCAACATTCAAATACACATCTATTCTTGCTGATAAAACCTATTTAATTTAAATATAATAATAATAATTATTATTTATTCAATGTATAAAACGGGCAAATTGCCCAATAGTACAAGTAAATAAATAAGTTATTACAATAACATAAATTCTTAATAGTTATCGGCTAGAATATAAACTAAAATGATTGTAAAAGTAAAACATTACATACTTATTGTTCGTTAAGGGGCCTCGATACGGTCATTATTTAAGGGGCAACATTTAGGCAATTTCTAATCTTGTAATAGCCGCCCGGTATCTATGTGTTAGTTGTAAATGACTATTAGTGAAATTAAATGCAGGTATCCTCTCAAAAATGCGCATGCACATGGCAATAACTTGATAACTATATCAATTTCACTACACGAATTTTACAGAAAAACATGCATTTGTTTTGTCAAAATTAAAGTTAGTTGACGTTGTCTGATTTTGATTCTGAAAAAATATTTGAAGTAAGCAGAAAAAGGTGCTCTGATGTACAGTAGGTTACAAGTGGGTCACTGTAAAATAGATGGCATTAAATTTGAATTCAATGATTTAATATCATTGTATAGGAAAAACGATTCTGAGCGGAGACGGTATATGTCAGTCTATAGGTATGAAACATATTAATATATTATTATATACTTATCTATGGTATTAAAAAAAATTGACCTATAATAGGTAGGTACCCATAATAAATTCCAAATTAATCATATCACAATATCCATTAGTTACTTATAACGCGTTATACATCAATAACACACCGTAATACTATATCATAGAAATATAATAGTGTACTTTAGAAGTTTCAAGTACCCACGAATAATATGATACAATCACAATAAAATAATTAAAATAGTTATTCTAGGTTTTTTATTATGTAGGTAATTTCGTCCAAATTTGAACTTAAAATGACTATAAAAATAAACTATGCTTATGTATTTTTTAGATTTTTTGGTAACAGAATAAACTACTTACGTGGAATCTTGTTTTACATTTTCAATCCTTAGATATAAAAGTTGAACATTTTATAAATTTTTAACTACAAAATAATTATTCAATTTTAAATTTGATAAATTTTGTCAAAATTCGATCTTTAAATGTTAATAAAAAAAAAATGTGATTTTGTATTTTTAATATTTTTCAACTGTTATTGTAACAATATATCAGGAGCCTTGTATTAAATTTTTCCATTTTTAGGCCCAACAGATAAAAGTTTATTGATATTTAAAGAAAAAAAACTAAAAAAATTGAAAACTTAAAATGTCCGATAACAGCTCAAAAAGAGTTAAAATATTTGGAAAATGTTATGGTGTATAGAAAATGCTAATATAAACATTCAATGAAATTTTCATGTATCTACTGTTATTCATTTTTGAATTACAACAAAATGAAAAAATCGCTACATGGAAAATCGAGTGAATATCCAATGTTGTAAAAATTTGAGTTTCAAACGCTCGTAAAGATTTAATTGGACTTTCTTATAGACATTTTTTTTTTTTATAAAGGTAGACAAACTTATGAGGAAGCTTGTATTACATTTTCATATCTTAGAATTAAAAAGAAATTTTTTTATGAATTTCTAACTCAAAATAATTTGCAAATTTTTGTAATTTTTCCATATTTTGTCAATTTTTGAACTTTAAATGCTTTTAAAAAAAAACTTCCAAGTTTTAAAAACTGAATAGGTATTATTTTCTTAACTGCAGATACATATTACAATAAACTTCTATTTTATTCAAATTTACAATTTAAAAAAAGTTTGTAAGTGGATGTCACTCTGCTGCACAGTAGATAGGTTACAAGTAGATTACTGTAAATTGTAATAGATGGTATTAAATTTGAATTCAATGATATAATCCTTGCAAGTGGCGTCAAGTGAACTCTTATCCGTGTTAGCTGACCTGATTTGTATTTTGACAGATTTGTAATTGTAATTCCTTTTATTTTTGGCGCTTCAAAATTCAATACTTATTACAATGATCTTTTGGAATCTTAAAAATATTTGTACTATTAATTTTAATAAAATACATATAATATTTAAATTTTAAATATAATAATATTACAAATTATTATTATTTTTTAAAAAAGGGTTTTTCGCAACCCAAGCCTTAGTCCGTCCCCCGTTCCAAATTATTATCTCGAATCGGGAGTTTCCTAATTAAACCTTAAGACCTATTATGCTTTTGTTGTTTCAATTTACAGTTTACATGGCACGTATGATACACTCGCGCTGCCATTGGTATCCAAAATGGTTTTAAAGTTCATAAGTATTTACATTGATTATACATTTTTGAAAAAAATTAAAAATCGGTGAAAACCAAAATGTTACTTTTGAGTAAAAACAGGTACAGCTCTGAAAATATCTAATAAAAATTAGTAAAGCACTAATGTACCAAAATATCTTTGAAAAGTATATTCAAGTACTATTGTACTAATCACAATTAACATTTATCTACTAGCAGATAGATAACCGTGATAGGTACTAATGTATCATTAAAGTATTTTTTAAACTTAAATTTAATAATCGAATGAAATAATTTAAAAATTTTTAGAATGTTCATAATATGCATAATTATAGAAGAATAATTCAATAAAAAAAAAAAAAAGTTTTATTTAAATTAATACAAAGATAGATAAATATTTTGGTATTCGTTTAGTATGTGACCTACCAGACCGCGTGACCTACCGTATTGGGTATTCATTTAGTATATGATCCACAGGACCATTAATTAATTTAAAAACAGTTAAATTAAAAATCATAAAATTATGTTAATAATTATTTAACTAATATATTAGTAATACAATATACAAATATAAAATAATACAGGATTACATTTAACAATGTCAAAATGAGTTAAACAAAATGAATGAAGACACATAGGTACCTATAACAGCAATAGGTATGTCAAAACTATTCAATAGATTTCATAAAATTATGTTGTTATAAAAGAGTTTTATTTTATTTAAATTATATTTTTAGAAATACACTTTTTGTATTTTACTTAAATTTCAAAAATTCATCTTACCTGTTAATAGATCAGTACCCGTACATAATATAGATAATCGTCTTGGTAGGTCACATACTAAACTCGATTTTAACTCTGTAGGTCACATACTAAACGAATACCAATATTTTAAACTTAGACTAATTTTGTTACAACTTGAAAATGTCAGTTCTATATTTGGATAGTTAAAAAATATATAATATAATAATACAGTAATTGTATATTGTGTTAACACAATATGATTATGATTATAATGTACAAATTATATGGTATATTAAATCTTAATTTTGAAACAATTGTAATTTTTGTATTTTTTGTCTACTTTTTACTAGTTAGGTGCAAGGCCAGAAATTTATTTTTAGGGAGGAGGGTTCACAACATGTATATTGTAATTTTATTGAATTTAGGTTTTTCATATTTGGTTAAAAATAAGACAAAATTAAGAATTTTTTTTTTTTTTTTTGGGGGGGGGGCATAAATATCTGCTATATAATTGCAATAATAATTGTGTATTAAAAATACTGTATCATAAGTCATAACTAAGGAATAAATATCAGCATTTTTAAAGTTAAATTAATATCTAGGTAGGTAATAATTATTAATAAATTTATTAATTTAATGAGACTTCAACTAAAAGTTATTACATCTCAACAGTTATTTTACAATATAAAATAAGAGAATAATAAAAATTAACATAGATAATAAATGTTAGTATTATAGAGAGGAAATAGAGGAAGTTGAATATTTTATGATTACAGATGTTAATAAAATAGATATAAATATTTGAGTCCAAAAATCACTTTCAAAGTGCAGTTTGTTGGTCATCATCAAGCCCACATGTTAATTTTATAATTTTATAAATCATTTAATGATTTAGATTTTATTTCTTCAGCGTATTGTACTAAATTTATTATGTACAGATTAATCAATTTTAATCAAAATAGATATTTAAAAAAAACAGCAAAAATAGCTGGCGGTACAGCAAAAATAACAATAAGTTGTGATATTTATTAGCTGAGTTGAGATTTAAAAAAAAAAAACACATCCTCTATTGGAGGTTGAATGAGTCTGGTGAAGATTTTAAACATTTGCTAGTGATTATGATCCTACTCATATAAATAAAATAATAATTATTGCATTAACATGAGATTATGTATTTTTAAACAATGTACAGATTATTATCATTTGTAATCATTCTCTTACTTTGAAAATTATATTTGATAGGTGCTTTGACTCGGTGGGGGACAACAGTTCTTATTTTGAATATAGTATTGTTAGGTTACATATTAAATGCATATTTAAATTCAAACAACAATTGAGAATACTAATATTTATTTGCAAAGTTATGAAGTATGGTAAGTTACTAATAATAAGCAACAATAATAGTACCTAATAAAAACAGTTTTTACAATCATAATAATTATTATAATATTCAGATAAATTAGAACAAAAAATAATTAATATTTACATTCATTGTTATTACTTATAGTTAATTATTTAAATTTTCAATAAGTTAATTGAAATTTAATATAATTCCAAGAAGGTGGAATTGAATTTGCAGGTGGCGTTAAAGGTAAAGATGTATTTGAAACGCTAACAGAATTTGAATGAATGTTTCTAGTAGATTGAGTTGTAATTGATTTTCTAATTTCTTTGTCTTTTTTATTATTTGATCTATTCATTTTAAAGTCGTCCAGATTTAAAGGTGGTCTAAAACTTCTTACTCTACCGCCAAATCTAAGTTGACCTGATTGTTTTTCACCTCCAAAACCTAAACCTAAACAAAGTTTAAAATTAAATTATATTGATTCTTTTTATTAGAAAAATTAAAAAAAACATATATCAATATACCTAATCTTCGAGGTTTCCAACCAGGTAGTAATCGTCCACATTCAAAGTCCACAAATTCCTCAGAATTCTTTAGTAATAGTTTTTTACAAAGTACATAAGTATTCAATGCCATTTTAAATGTTTCATACTCTATTAAAGCATATCGTTTACTTAAACCAGTTATTAAATCTTTAACCAGCCTTAAAGCTATCATTTTACCATACCGACAAAATTCCTAAAACAAAATGAACAACAATAAATTATTTAATTTATATTATAATATTTTCAATAAAATGGTATGATTTTAGCCAGTTAGTTGTAGTTTTTCTATTTTTATCTAAGTGCATACATTCATTATATAATATGGTAAAAAAGCTCTCCTCCCCCCAAAATAAAAAGAATGATAATAATTATTATGCAATAAAACAGTGTATAAGTATATATCAATAAAACTATTCATTGAAATTAAAATTAAGGAGGCTGGAGCTTAATCAATTCTAAGGACTAAAAACTAGACATTTTATATTTCAGTTTATATGTGTCTTGTATTCTTGTGAATGTGTTGAAAGTAAATGAACATTAGTGGGTGTAATTCGTAATACTGATCACGTTTTATAGGGGCATCATAGTGATCGGTATGTACGTCTGTCATTTTACCTACGCTCATGCACAAGTCACCATAATTATATTGCTTTATAGAATTACAAACAATTTTTTTCAAAAAATACTGCCAGTGACTTCAATCACTACGCACAGTAGGATGTTCCGATTTAAATTTTGAAAGCAGATTTGAATTCTCCTCTAAATTTACTATGCTTTAACTGTCGTACATTTTTCATATTCTATATAAATGTATTAACATTTGAAATATGAATATTATCTATTTTTACTCTTTTTGTTAGTAAATTTTTAAGCAAAAAAAAATTAAAAACAAACTAATGAAATAGTCAAAGCATAGATAATTTAGAGACAAATTTATATCTGCTTTCAAAATTAATATCACAACATTATATTGGGCGTAGTGATTGAAGTCATGAGCTATGTTTTCGACCAAAAATAAATCAAGCTCCAGCCCTTAAAAATATGTTGTACAACGTACCTATGAAAACAAAATTATTTCATAATTTATGTACTTATATACATGGTAACAACAAATGTATAGGCGGAAGGAAATAGTACACTGTTTCATATTTTTTCAATAAAAATTCATAACCAGTTTTGAGCTAATTTGCACTTATTATCATCTGAACATATTATTTCAATTTGTTTCTGTTGATCTGTTATTTTCTGTTTTTACATAAAATAGCCCGAGTAGCAAATTTGTTATGCAGAGTCGGTGTCGGAGAACCGTGCTTAAAGCACCGTGCAGACACAGTGTAAGGGGACAAAAATAATTTTTTATAGGTTCAAAACACGTTTGACGGTGTAAAATGTCACGGTGAAAACTCAGTTGTATTAGGAAACCTATATTTGTGTTCATATTGTGTGCTAGAGTGTAAAAAAGTACGGTTCAACTATCGAGCAAATGTGTATATTATTACGGTGCTCCTATCGTTCAACGGTTAAACATTATTATTATATTAACGAAGACTTTATATCCTTTAGCTACCACCTAAACGCTATATAACCACGTGCGTTATGTTATCACTTAGCTGGTGCCTATAACGTACGTATTAACGTATTATATAGTATATACCTGCATTCGCTGCATGCAGCTGACACGAGGAATTTATAATATACCTATGTACCTATAATTGTAATAATTCAGCAAAAATACGATCGACAGCTAAAGGGACTTCATAATAATGTAAGTATATAATATTTAATATTTACTATATAATATTATGTTAACGAATATATAACAATTAAGCATTTATTATGAAGCAATTTAAAATAATGGATAAAATAAATAGGAAATAGAAAATAGTTATACCTAATAACAATGTAATACATATATAGGCATATATATATATTGTTATATATTGTATAATATATAATTTTATAAACTGCATTGACACGCGCTATATACTGTTTATATAGTGATATATATTTTAATAATATATACATAATTATGTACAATATATAGTATATAATATTGTAGCATTTTATTTTAGTTTAAATATTGCAATTGGAATTTATTTGGTGGTTATAGGTATCACTATATATAGTATATGTATATACATATATACTAATAGTATATATAGTTATACTAACATAATTGCAGAATGGCAATTTGTTATAAGGGACCCAAGTTACATTTTTGACAAAAATAGTTTTGTTGTATATATACAATAATATATTATTCATCCTCTTATGTAAACACATTGTTTTGTGTTAAAAGTACTTATTTCGTATCATCTTCTCTGCGCAAAATTATGATTAAATATTTCATAGTTTGTTAAAAGGTACCTATATGTACCTATGTACTTATTATGCAAATAGAAATAAAAGAAAACTGTTTTTTGTTTCTCCAGAAAAGTAGTTGAAAATATACTTGGGTCCCTTTTAACAAATTGCCATTCAATTATATATTTCTCTGAAAAGTGGTTGTTTAAAATGTATTAAATAACAAAAAGTATAACAAGCTAGTCATTTTGTAATTTTTCTACAAATAAAAAACTAAATTACTTAAAATAAATGTAATTAATTTATATTAATTATCTTCCCTCTAGACACTCAAGCTGCTAGATGCATTATATTATATAAAAAAAATATCAATTATGCTTATTATATACTTATATTATATTGTAGTTAGTATATATTTATTATAGTTATGTCATGACTTAAGTTATGCTATTAATATAATATACAAGTATATAAAACTTATACACTTTATTGAATTTACTTATCAGGCCTAATATCCACTTAAGTAAAGCAACGCGTTACCGAAGGAGAAAAAGAGCTGCCGTTGAAGCTTCTTCTCTATTTACATCATCATCAAGTAGTGATAATGATAACTACAATGCCAATCAAACTTTGCCAATCCTATCTCTACCAATAAATACTTTATCCAATCCTACACCTAATCCTAATGTAGAAATGTATAGTTGTAGTATTAATCCATTTCCATCTAATGAAGATAATAATAGTCTTAATACTGATTATAATGACAGTTTTACTGAAATTACTTCTTCTGATGAATATGAATCTACTCCTGAGTTGTTTGAAAGTGGCAGTGATGTTGGACTCGAATTGGTCATAGCTAGGTGGGCTGTTCGCCATGATATAACTCATTTGGCTTTAGATGACCTTCTGAAAAGTATATCTCTATTTCCTCAATTTAAAGGGTTGCCTAAAGATTCACGTACATTACTCCGAACACCTACGACAACCTTAGTGAAAGAAATTAGTGGAGGTATATATCATCATTTTGGACTAAAAAATGAAATAGAACAATTGTTTAAAGTATATGATAGTTTATCAATTCCATCTACTTTAATGTTGGTGGTAGGAATTGATGGCCTCCCTTTATCTAAAAATCCTCCTAGTCAGTTGTGGCCTTGTCTGGGTTATTTTTCTAATTTAGGCAAAAGTCGAGATGTATTTATAATTGGAGCATATTATGGGCAACTTAAGCCACAAAAAAGTAATGAATTCTTGTCAGATTTAGTTAATGATTTAAATTTTTTTTATAAGACTGGCATTGTTTATAATAACATTAATATTAAAGTTCAACTGAAAGCTCTAATTTGTGACACACCGGCAAAGTCTTTTGCTCTAAATGTAAAGGGACATACAGGTAAACATTCTTGTAATCGTTGCTATACAGTTGGTCAGTATGGAAACAATAGAGTATATTTTCCTGATTTATGTTCAACTTTACGAACTCATGAATCATTTATATCTTATTCAGATTTAAACTTCCATTGTGATAAAACAATTCTTTCAGATATTCCCAACTTTAATTTGGTTTCTGGGATACCATTTGATTATATGCATTGTATATTAATTGGTGTAACTAAAAAGCTTTTAATGTTTTGGACTGGAGGAATTAAACCACACAGTCAAAATCTTCCAAAAGTTCTAATATCTGCTATTAATAAAAAATTGAACGAGTTAGGAAAATATATCCCACAAGATTTCCAACGAAGTCCAAATGAAAATAGCCGAAAACATCCATTGTGGGATGCTAGTCGTTGGAAAGCAACCGAACTTAGACAATGCCTTTTATACACCGGTATGATAGTTTTTCATAATATTTTAGAGAAAAAAGTTTACAACCATTTTCTAGTTTTGTGTGTTGCTATAAGAATTATGTCAACAGATAATATATCTGAAGAATATATTTTATTTGCAAAAAAGTTATTAGCTTATTTTGTGTCACAATTTGCTGAAATTTATGGAAATACCTTTATGTCTCATAATATTCATATCATGCTTCATTTAGCTGATGATGTGCAAACATTTGGATCATTAAACAATTTTTCTGCATTCCCTTTTGAAAGTTTTATGCAGCCTCTTAAAAAAAAAATTAAAAGTGGTGTAAAACCACTTCAACAATTAGCCCGTAGATATGCTGAATCTAGAATTTTATTACTGTCAAAGAATAGTTTAAATTTAAAAAATGGTTCTATAAATGTTCATACAAACAATAAAGATAGACCTATACTTCAAGAAACTTGTAAACCAGAATATACCGGTTGGAAAAATGATAAGTTTATAGTAAAATTGAACAATGCTGATAATTGTTTCACGGTAGAAAATGGTGACATAATTCTGATTGAGAATATTGCAACTTCTAAATTTGATCATTCTTTAGTAGTCATTGGCAGACGGTATGAAAAACTCACAGAATTTTTTAATACTCCGTGTTCTTCGAAACTATTAGGTATATATGCAGCCTCTACACTTGGGCCACTTCAGTCATGGAAGTTTGATAAATTAAAAACAAAAATGATGAATTTGCCTCTAAACAATACAAATTCTATTGTTATTCCTTTATTACATTTTCAGTAATATTCAAATTTAGTTGTACAACATAAGTTATATAAATTATATATTAATGTTATATTATTATTGTTATTATTATTATTATTATTATTATTATTATTATTATTATTATTATTATTATTATAATGCAATATCTCTTATTAAATCATATTCTACTATATAATTATTATTCCTTATTTATTCTTAATATATTATTCCAATTTGGAATTTCATTGATAACAATGGTAAGTCAATAATTATATAGGTACTGTACTCTATTTATAA